AAAAAAAATCATAAAAATATAAAGGAAATAATGGTTTTCCATTTTGATCTATTTTTTTCTCTTTTCTAAAAAATTTATATTTATTAATTTAATTTATCTTTATATCTCTTTTTTTATCCAAAAAAAATTTTTATCAAAGAATTCATAAAATTTAAAAAAGGAAAAATACTTTCAAAATTTTCAAAATGAATTTTTTCTTAATAATTTTTTGATTTTTTTTTTTAATAATAATTTACTCCATTAAAAATATTTTACTAATAGGAAATTTACAGTAACTTTTAAATATTTATTAAAATTAAAAATAAATATTATTATATCTTCAAAAATTTAGATTATAGTACAATTTAGCATTAGTTTATTATTATTATTTTTTTTAACAGATAACTATATTACTATTTACAGCTGATTTATCATAATAATAATTTTTTTTTTAAATAATTTTATACGAATTTGCAGATCACTATTTTACAGCTGATTTATCGTTCTTAAAAAAGTGATTAATCTTAATAATATTATTATATCTTCAAAAAATCTAGATTGTAGTACAATTTAGTATTAGTTTATTACTAGCAGTCACCCGTTCCTTTGTACCGGGACAAATGAGTAGTAGTTTTTTGTTTATAATTAGGAATTTAATATGGTAATAATTAGTTAACAAAAATAATAAATAACATGTATTTAATTTATATTTATAATATTAGAATGATATAAATTATATTTAGAATAATATAGTTTATATTTAAAATGATTTGACGTTTGAGTGTATTTTCACCCTGGTCGATTTAATAATTTTTCACCTTGGGTGATTGAACCTATATAATTTACCCGGTGATATTTTATTGGCTAAATTAATGTGCTGATCTGAATTCCTTCTTTTTAGGTCTTTTGATTCTTCTTTATAACTACTAAGGTATGTTTTTTATTTTTTTATTTTTTTTTATTTATTACATGTAATTCCATTCCCTACTAACTTTACTTGGTCCACCTGTTTATCTCATTTCCGTCCCTTCTCCATTTTTTTGTTTTCTTTTTGTTTCTTCATTTCTTTTGCTCTTTTTATTCTTCCCTTCCTTCATTTTTTCTGTCATTTTTATTTCCTCTTTGTTTCTTCGTCTTTTCATTCCTTTACACTACCCTTCATTCCTTTCATTTTTATTCCATTCCCGCTTCATCTTTTTCATTCCTTTACACTATCCTCTGTCATTTTCATTTTTTTTCCATTTCTACTTCTTTTTACACTACCCTTTGTTCCTTTCATTTTTTTTATTCCATTTCGTCCCTCTTTTTTTTCATTTTTTTCATTCCCACTTGATCTTTTTCGTTCCTTTTGTTTCTTTCACTCTCCCTTTGCTCCATTTTGTTTCTCCCTCACCCCTTCGTTTCTTTTATTCCCTTTTATCTCCCTATTTTTTCATTCACCCTCATTTTTTTGATTAATTTTTAGAAGTATTTTTGAAAAAACTTTAATATTATGAAAATACTACAATATTTTTTTTTAATTACTTATAAATTTTATAATTATTTCTTATTTTATATTACGTCAATCTTAAACTTATAACCAACTTAAAAAAAATATTTGAATAATTAAATGTATTAGAATCTATTCATTTCATTTATT